ATTAAATTTACAATCAGACAAATGACTGCTTAAGACAGTCGTACTCGCATTCTTCCATTCATTAATTCGCTTTTGGCATTTACTGAATTCCCATATCTATAAAGAAAAAATCCTTTAATTTGATGTAGAATATTGACAGTATTTTCATAAAATTTTATCCTGAAATATAAAATAGAGATTACCGTCTTTAATTAAAGAACAGTTTAGAGAATAAGCTTAGATAAATAATTAAATAGGAAGCAAAAAATTGAAAAAGCGAAGCATCTACCTGATATGGCGTCTTCTCTAATCACTACAAATTAATAAATTCTACAGCATCCTATAAATGTTTCGATCAAATATCTATATAAAAACTAATCACACATAAATTTGATACATGTTCTTAACTTATTCATAAGCCCAGAGAAAATAACGGCGATTTATTTTTATTTTATGCAAAGTTGTACTCTGACGACGGTATTAGAAAAGAAAAGTTAGAGGAAAGCGGCTTCTCTCAAATAATACGATGCAATCACTTTCATGAAATTCAAATTTGAAATAAACTTACAAAACATTTTCTCTGACCAATTTCCACTTTCGGATCGTTCCCATTTGATGTGTACCAATTGTTAACCAGAATCAGAAGCAATTTTGAAACACATCAATCGCATATGTTACATGTTGATGATAAAACAACGCAATGATGCCACTATCCAAATATTGGAAAATCTCAATTAGCATTATTGGTGGCAAATCATACAATGGTGAGCCTTAGATCGTACAACCGATGGTTCGGGTGGACAATGAACAACACAATTTAGATAGCGATTATATTTAACAAAAAAAAAAAAAACAACAATTTATTTTTTTGGAAAGAATGAAATGAAGCAAACTTTTTTTTAATCAATAACATAAAAATCTTTAATCTCAAAACAAAGAAAAGAATTATCCTTGTAACACAAGAGAAAAAATTATAAAAACCAAAAACTGCTATATAAATATGAATATAAATTACCTTATTAATGCACCTTTAATAGCAATTAATCTAATGTAAAGAATTTAATTACATATGAGACTTTTTAGGCCGTTTATCCCAGAGACAATCAGAGTTATCACAACTAAGTTTTCAGTAATAAAAACATAAATGATAGCAAATTTAAGACCAAATAACACATAAACAAACAAGAAACCTTAATTCGCCCCAGCATGGTTTAGCTTTGCAATAATAGAATGGGCATCCATCGATATACATCGGACAACGTACTATGCAGTCATCAATTCCCATATGTGATAATTCATAATGTGTACAATATTCATCACGACGAAAGCTTTCGTTACAGCAAAATGTATATATCGAAATTCCTTTCTGAACATATGGCATATTCTCACCTTTTCGTGCGAATACCGAAAAACGTTCACGTCCAATATTCAGCTATAATGTTAAGTAAAATTATATGCGTTCAAGATTAGCAGAGAAAACGATATGTAATAGTAAATATATCTCACAACAGAAGGAATTTCGATATATATATTCTGAAATGTAATCGTTATAAATTAGAAAATAATGAATAAAGATAATAATTGATCATTCACTACTTTTTTAATTAGAAATTCCAAGCTTGTCAATGATTCCTAACTTATTGCTTTCAATGATCCGTAACTTACTGCTTTGCTTATTGCTAATGATAATAAATAAAATCTTTTTTCTTGCGATCATATTAAAATGTAGAATTTAGATTCTTAAATTTGTACTGTACATCTAACAGAAAATATATCGGTAATGATTTTGGATAAGATAATGCATAAGCTAAATAAATTAAATGTGCCATTCATAGGTGAAGATATTACTTTTTAAAACTTACGCATAAATGCCTCATTTCGTAGAAGGGAGGCAAAAGTGACACTTTAACTGGCGGTATCACTTCCACCGAAGTTTTTTCATTTTCTTCGAAACTGATATTACCTAATACGTGAAGATGCTGACTAGCTGGATCAAGTCTGCACAAATAACAATTTTCAAATGGAGAACGTTTAAGTTTCAACTGAATTTCCTGAAAATCAATCAAGTGAATATATGAAATCCTTGTACATTATAATATTAGTCTATATTTCACTATCACCCTCAATCAATAGATGGATGGGCTTTTTTGATATTTTCATATCACTTACAGCTGTAGAAATAAACGTATAGTGAATAATAAGTTATATTTTTCAATATATCTCCATCTTTCAGCTTCTATATTGCATCCATCGACATCACTATCATTAGTATATTAAAACATGTATAGAATTACCTCAGAGAGACAATCTGAATCTGAAAACTAAATTATAACTAAAGGCTTTTCAGGGAACCTTTTGTCTGTTTTCTTCGTCACTGCTGTCTTCGTCTGCAAAACGAGATAACTTTTCAAGCGATAACCTCAGTGGCATCAGTGGATGACATGGATTCTGGAAATCTGTTAGACGTTTCCGGTCTTTGCGACTTATCTGATAAGAATCGACAACTGCTTCCTAAAAAAAAAGGAAAAAGAAAAATACAGAATATTTTTCACTAAAAGACAACCACAAATTAAAAAATTAAAATATCAAATGAATGCTAAACAAACAAACTGACTCTTGTCAATTGACATCTAAATCCATCTCAATGTAGTAAGCCGACGTGAAAAGAAACCTGATCAACCAGTGCGGCACAAACATCAATTTCACGGTCATCTATTTCAGGTTCCACTTTCCATTGTTCCAGACCTTTTGCAAAACGTTTCAGTTTACGTTTTGCGTGATTACTAAGCGTTCGTCTATTCCATTGTACCGCACAACATATTGCGGATGCACAGCAATGCTTTAAATGCTGTGACATTCGATCACGTCGTAACAATACTGGACAACCGAATGCTGCGCATAAGCACGAAACGTAGGCCTTAAATCATAACAGCATTCAAAAATGATCCAGTAATTTTACGAATTTAAAATTTTCATGCAACTGCATATTTTGTTACGGTCTCTAAAAGGCATTAGCTGTATTGTTATCTAAAACTAGACCAATGATCATAATTAAATAGACTATGAAAACGTAGAAATCGTAATGGGTACTAAGAGTATCCAATATTGAATTAGACAACAACGCTTTCCCTAATATTTGATAATGTTTTCAAAGAAGGCCAAATATAACAAATATAACTACAGTAAATCTTTCTCATCAATTTTTAATATTCACTTCTCATTCATTTTAGGCTTAATACATTCAGCAAAACACATCTTTACATAATAGCAAAAATTGTCGCTGAAAACATCTATGCATCAGTTTTTCCTACCTTAGCTATCAAATTACTTCATATCTATTCCTGAAGATAGATAAAGGCATTATCCATCAAAATTTTCAGTTTTGATTAATTCATACGATTAAATCGTCTTACATGTATAATTGTCATTTTCGGAATTTGCATAATTCAGTAAAGCTTGATAACTTCATATACAGAACTAATTTATCAAATAAAAATAATCTAACCTTAGCACAAATTAGCAAATGATCTTCAAGTTTACAACCATGCAAAACTGCGTGAATCAAACCTTATCGAATAGATCTCCTTCGTTTGTATCACATTTTCCTCATCCTCACTGATATCCATTATTGCATTTCGTAACTGATTAAATTTATCATTAATTCATCATCTAAAATTTCACTATAAACAATTTTCAATTTAACAATGTACTGACAACTAATAGACATGTGATCGTCGATATCTATTATTCTATGAATAAAAAAGTATTACTGTATGAATAAAAAAGCATAACTAACACAATTACTCAATTATTATACATTTATGTGATGGTAACCAAATAATTACATTATATTAATTGTATGAATTAAATTGCTGAAATCATATTAGTATTGAATTAATTGCATTACTGCAAATAACTATAAATAGCCTAGCCGTGTAATTAAATAAATGCTAAACATAGTAAAATTATGACGTAATTATGACGAAACGCATTGTTATAAACGAAGAAAAATCACACAATAATAATTGTCATAAAGTAATCACAGCTACAGAGCGTACGACCACGTCGTACGTAAAATCGAAATAAAGTCGAAATATGCGAATAGATCCGTTGAATTTAAGTAGCAATGAACGCTGCTACTCTAATAGTTTCGTTGTCTTTTCTCACTTATCGCTGTATACTATCTCATAAATCTCATCAATTTCTGTTCTCTCTTCAAATTTTAGCATATTTTCTTCTTATTCTCAATCACTGACACAATTACATTTTTTTTGCTATAATGTTTTCGTACTTATAGTGTCTGCATTAAAATATTTTTCAAATTCAATTAATCTTTTTAAACTTTCTTTCATTTTTGCAGAAAGAAATTAATAATAGCTAAGTTTAAATATATCTGATGATGAGTCATCTTTTTATCAAATTTTTAAAAATTTGCTAACATTCCTATAAGGCTAATAAAGAATATTGTTTGACACGAAATGATAAACTTAAAGTTTTATATGTAATTTTCAATTAATGAATTAAAATTTTGAATTTCGATTCTTCGTTTGAAGTTACTCAGAAATATTACAATAGGATTGATAACGGATATATATAAAAGTCTCAAGTTTTAATTGTGGGATAAGATCAGTGATAATATCAGTAGTGATAATATCAATCTTATACAATTGTTAGCGTCGTAATATCCAAACGTAAGATCCAACTTAAAATTCTCATTTAAATTAATAATGATTTCTAATAGGCTAGATTAAAGAACAAATCATAATATTTCTAATTTTAATTACAGTAAAAATAATACTAAAACAAAAATAATTCAAGAATCCGGTACTCATCTACTCAAATGTTCCTATTACTACTGCTGCTGCTAGCGATGGTACTGCTGGTGCTATCGGTGGTGGTGCTATTGGCGGTGGTGCTATTGGCGGTGGTGCTACTGGTGGCGGTAGGGGTGAACAGGAAGGATCAGGCGCTATCAAAAGCTCTCCAACACTAGAATCAGCTGAAATTCGAACAAGTAGCAGTCAAGAATCGGAATCAAGTTCGAAACGACGACCTAAATTTGAGGAAATTTGCATATGAATGTTGCAAAAAATTCATTTTCGTTTTTTAAATCAATCAATAATCTATTTTTCAATATAATTTGAGTAATTGATAGTTTAAAAAATTACTTCATGCATTAACTAATATTATTTTAAAATTAACAAAAAAAAAATTAATGTAAACTGATATTATTTTAAAATTAAATTCAAAATGAACAAAAAGTATTATGAATATTTTCATATGTTTAACAATTAACAATCAGTTAATGTTTAATGTAATTAAATTTATTTATTAAATATAATTATACTGCTCTTTTTACATAAATTATTAATAGCAAAATTTGATTTGCTATTAATTCTAATAATTTATCAATTAATCGTTAAAACATTGCTGTAATTAGCTTAATATTATATGTCTAATAATCAATTATTTAAGATTCAATATCTTTTATTATTTACAAATTTTTAAATAATAATACAATTGTTTGTAAACAATTGTTTAAAAATTTACCAGAAGTAATTTTACCAAATAATATGATCATATCACCGGTACGTATATTCCATTCTTTCTTTAGCATATTCACTGATAAACTGTTAATAAATGAACTTTTTGGCTCCTACAAAAGCAATCTAATAAGAATAAAAAATGCATGAAATTGTCTAGACACTGCACGAAATATTTCTAATTTCTTTAAATAAAATTTTTTTTTAAAGAAAAAGGCATTGTCCTAAAATAATTGTAAACGATGAGTCATTTTATTGAAATTTTTGCTTTGCAATCTTTTTTTCGCAATCTAAGTTAATTTTAGGTAGTAATTTTGTAATTAAACCAATAATTTAGGATACATCTCGATGAATAAAACCTATGGTTAGCAATTTTGTTTACTAAAGCAAATGTCTATTAAAGATGTTTTGCATTTAATGATTTTGATGGATTAAATAGAATCAAAAAGAACGACAATTAAATAACTATAATTTTGCTTCTTTGAAATTAGTTTTGTTTGGGAAAAAAAAGTTATACACCTATATTAATGTGTATATGAGAGAGTATATTTATCATAGTATTTTGTATAAATAAATGTGTATGTCACTTTTTTTTTTTTGATTTATACTTATACGTCTATATTTCGATTTAATTCGTGTACTATGGTTGATAAAGACGATATCATACGCTTCATTGTTAGCCTGATGATATATTTATTGGTTTTTTGCCCTTGAGGATTTTATGCGAAACTGACAAATACTATTGCTACTACTAATAATAATAATAACAATAATAATAATAATGATAATAATAATAATTAATAATAATAATAATGATAGCAGCAACAATAATAATAATAATAATAATAATAATAATAATAATAATAATAATAATAATAATAATAATAATAATAATAATAATAATAATAATAATAATAATAATAATAATAATAATAATAATAATAATAATAATAATAATATAGAAACTGATTCATTTGAAAAGAGACTCGAGATGAAAAAACATATATATGCGATTAAAACGTTATGAAGTATTATACAAAATTATCAAAACCGATTAGAAAAGGAAATGAAACAAACAATATTCTATGTCTTCTCAAAAATTATTGCCTTTACTAGGACTAGGAACCGGATCATTTTCTTTAAAATCAATGAAATTGAACGTTTTTCTTAGCATTTTCAATTGCGCTATTTTCAAACAAAAAGATACATATAATGCCTTATGGATGAAATTGTTTTTTATACAAGCTTCAGCGGTAACACAAAAAATCATAGTATTCTAGCGAAACCAAGAAAATTTAGCAACCACTAGTTTGTTTGCTAAAAATGTACTGGATGACAATGTTTTGCTATTTGCGTTACGAAACCATGATTATAGCGAAAATTAGCATCTCCATGTGCCAAACATTAACATTTTCATATACGCTATCAATATAAATAGAGTTTGGGACTAAATTAAAATGAGGAAGTCAAGTGGTTAGAAATTCATTTTTGACATTGGAAATTAGTCATAATTACCAATTAGCAGTAAATTGCCGTGAAAAATATTCATTTTGTACCAATTTTTATTACTTGGACAAGGGAAGAAACAAAAAATTTTGTAAAAATTAAAGCTTTTTTCGCATTTAATATTATCTCTTTGTCTATTTAAACTTATCTCTTTATCTCTTTGTTTCTAAAGTTAACTTTTAAAGTTTAAAGTCAGCATAAAATGTCAAAAAAAAGTCAATAAGATGTCAGCAGATCAAGTGTAATGCAAATAAAAGTAATAAATTAAGTTCAATAAATGTTCATTTTTAGAAAAAAAAGGAAACTTTTTCTCAAAAGAAAAAAAAATTTTTTTTTCTCAAAAGTATAAATCTCTTCGAAAAGGAAGTTAATAACAAATAGCTTTTGTCTTTTTTTGCAATAATTTAATTATTAAATTTATTTATTGTTAGTTTAGAAAATGCTTAAATTAATTAAGCATTATTTAAGTTAATTTCTTGTACCTTTTCCAATCTAATCATTTTATTATTTTCTTTTTTTTTATTTTAAAATTAAACAAGAAATATGCATTTAAATTCATTTTTTCATGTGATCTTATTTAGGAAAATTTTTAAGAAATTATTGCCTTCAACTTACTGCATTTAAAATTGTTTGTTAAATGACAATTATTATAAAAATCAATAAATTAATTAAGATCATTATAAATTATCATAAATGATTGAATCATTATAAATGATATCAAATTAACATCTAATAAATGATTAATCATTTCATTTAAATTTTATTTTTTACAAGACAAAACAAAAATGAAAAAAAAATCATTTCTAATCACTTCGTGTCAGTTTTTTCACGTGCCTGTCGTTTCTTACGTAATTCTTTGCGACTTTCTGGTGGTTCAGTTCGTAATGGGATTTGCTCAAATTTAGGTCGTCGTTTCAAATTTGATGCCGATTCTTGACTGCTACTTGTTCGAATTTCAGCTGATTCTAGTGTTGGAAAGCTTGTGATAGCGCCTGATCTTTCCTGTTCACCACTACCGCCACCAATAGCACCACCGCCAATAGCACCACCAATAGCACCATTACACCACCGCCAATAGCACCAGCAGTATCATCGCTAGCAGCAGCAGCAGAAGTAGTAATAGGAACATTTGAGTAGGTGAGTACCGGATCATTACGTGCTGTAATTACCGTACAAATCGAATCACGAGAGCTTTTTGGTGGTAATATTGAGGGAGCGGTGCTACTTTGGAGTGGAATCATTTCACCTGTTACATTTCCACTTTTAGACAAATGCTTGCTTTGATTGTTGAGCTAAAATTTCAGCCCAAAGTTCTCGTCTACTATCACTAATCTTTTCCTGGGTTGGGTAAATTACGTAAGATTGCTTTAAAAACTGTTAACAACTACCAGATCCTATTGGAAGCTGTTGAGCTGGACGCCAGTTTTTGTTAACTGATACGGATATTTCATTACTAATACTTTTGGTTGTTGCAGCAGATGATACCGAATCAAAAGGTGGAATGATATATGATCCAAGAGGTGATGGTGCTAATCCTAATGTTCCTCCTAATGGAGTTGGTGTAACTGCATTTTCTGCACCAGACACCGTATAGATGGGCGATGATAATGGTTGATTGCGATTTTGTGGTGACGCCAAATCATCCTATAATTTTTAATTTTTAGGTAGCTATTTTATTCTAAATTTTTAATATTTAATTTTAATCATATACTTATAAAATTGAATTTTTTTTTTGTTTGTTTCGTAAACATTTGCAATGTACAAATTCAAATGATTGCAAATTTTTCTTTTCATATTATGAAATTGACATATTTGTTAAAAAATTCAATAAAATAAAACAAATGGAAACCATAAATTTGGCATAAACTGCATCCATTAAAAAGACTTGCACAATTGGTCCCAAATCTGGCACCTCCAATGATTTCTTCATTATTTTTTGACGCTAGAAAAATTTTAAAAAAACAATTTTTTTTTTCGAATTTATAAAAATTTAATTTGAATAATTTATCTGCCATTTTTTAAATAATCCTTATAATCTCAAGTTTTTTAAGAAAAAAATTAAATGAAGCAAATAGGAAGGAAATAAAATAGCAAACATTATCAGCCACATGAATAATTTCCTTGAAATTAACATTATCCAAAAGAGCTGACGCATAACAAATATGTTCAGGATTATTTTGAAGCCAAAATATGATCGCTTCATAAATTTCTAATACCCATTCAGGTCCTTGTAATAGTGGTGAAGAAAGAAGTGCGTAAAGCAATTCGAATGATAACTAAAAAAAAAGGAAAGGAAAAGGAGAGAGAGAGAGAGAGAAGAAGAAGAAGAATATTAATTAAATGTAAAAAAAAATTTTTTTACATTTAGCTAATTGCTTTGAAATAATAATGAAAACAAACAAAAACAAAAAAAAAAAAAAAAATTATATATAGAAAAGAAATTATTTCTTTTCTTTTTTTTTTTTACTTCTGAAAATTTTGGGCTTGCCAGAATATCATGAAATTTTATTGCTGCACCATCAACAACCATATTACGATATTGTGATTGTCTAAATGTAAGATAAAAAGTAATGATAAGGAAAAATTGCGATAAAATAATTTTTTTGAGAATAATATTATTGTCTCATTCAAGATTATAACAAAATTTCGTGCAGCAATTAGACTTGTTCTTTTTTTATTAAAAGATGACAAAATCTGCTAGAAGCTTTGAAGCTATAAACAGGTAAACATTGATATATACATCTGATTATATGATTTAAAATGAAAAAATTAATTAAACAAACGGAGGTAAACAAGCAATAGCTGAGTAAAGTAATGAAATTGGTGGTGATGTATTTTCTAATATGCGTTCAGTCATTTCTTCACAAATTAATGATACCAATGAAGTCACCTGAAAACTTTTTTACTGCAAACACAATCATATCTACTGATCATAACTATAATTTTATTGGATTGAAAGATTTGCTTGTCATTTATTTTAATTATTAAAAAGATTATTTGCCTCTATTTAATCACTATGATTTTTTTTACTATATCATTTAAAAATTTTTTGTTAAGGTATATTTTCAGAATTCAGGCATTTTGTTCTATCTGTATTGGTTTTATTTTGATTACCTATTAGCTTATCAATTCTTCGTTTCGCCTATTTTTGATACATTTGACTTTGTCAACTATTTCTTTCTTGATTTCATCTTTTTTTTTTCTTTTTTTAAAAAAAGCATTATTTTAATTCCTAAATTCTTTATTATTAAGTTAAGTTTAATATACTTACTTGAAGATCATTAGCTGCTATTAGAACATTCTCCAATTCATTTTCTAAAAATTTGATTTGTCCACTTTGAATGAAAGCTACCACATTATAGAGACCGGCATTCGTAATATTTGGCATATCATTTAAATGAACTGTGATTTCTTTACCCGATGAAAGTGTTTCTTGTGTTGCCTAAATATAATCTTTCTAGGATAATTATCCATATTACTTTTAAAGTTATTTAAAATTTTAATTAGTTTATATATAAATGTATAAAATTCCTATATTAATGATAATTTACTCAGGTGCAACAGGTATAATTTAATCATTTCTTTTTATTTAAATTGTTTCATATTTCTGTTCTAAATGTATAAAATTCCTATATTAATGATAATTTACTCAGGTGCAACAGGTATACACCAAAATCAAATTAGCTCATTTCTTTTTTATTTAAATTGTTTCATATTTCTGTTCTAATTTCATCAGTTCATTTCTATCCTGAATGCTATTTGATATTATGCAATACATAAAGTCTATTTGATATTTTAGGATGAATTTAGTGATATGATAAAAACTAGTACTCATATATCAAAATGTTTGTGAAAATTTCTGCGAAACTTTCATTAGTTAATTTGAAAGAATTATATCCTGAATGCTATTTGATATTATGCAATACATAAAGTCTATTTATATTTTAGGATGAATTTATGATATGATAAAACTAGTACTCATATATCAAAATGTTTGTGAAATTTTTATGAAATTTTTGAAAAGAAAGATATTTGTGGAATATATTTTAAAAAGGAAACGACAAATATTTAAACAATTACAAATTTTGTACAACAAATATTAATTAATTCAATTAAAATTTACTTGTGCTGAAATAAGTTTGCGAAAGATATCCGAGAATGCAGTAAGTAAACATGCAGGTGCATTACATGAATATCCATTTTCAAGCACAATTTTTACTCGATTTTTAATACCAATATTTGCTGACCACTTTAAATATACTTCAGCTTCTAATCTATCAGTACGCAATTCATCCTTAAATGAAAACTAAAATAAAAAAAAAAAAATGGTTAAATATAGTCAAGAAAAACTTTGAAAATATTTAATTTCAAATAAATCATTAAAATATTTTTTTAGCAAAATTTATTCTTTTACCTTTAAACTTTTTTTTTCATCTTTTTTTCTTTTTTTTTTTTAAACCATAATAATACATTAAAATTTCTCAATAATTTAATGCAGGTATAAAAATGTTCTCAAATAATCTCAATATGTTTTTCCTTTCACATTTTTCTGTTTTTTTTTTTCTTTTATGCTTAAATATAAATATGCTTTTTTAGCAATTAATTATGATTAATTAAATTAATTGGAACCTTCAAATACTTTTTGCGAATATCTCCTGGTACAACCCATACAGCATCCAACGCAAGTCGCTGTTGTAATTGCGGGACTCCTTCCTGCGATCTGCCGTACCACATCTGATAGAAGCATGCAAATGATGCGTTGCAGTAATTCGAATCAAATAAATTAGTTTTTTTTCTTAGTAAATAAATTTGCATATGAATGTTGCAAAAAATTCATTTTCGTTTTTTAAATCAATCAATAATGTATTTTTCAATATAATTTGAGTAATTGATAGTTTAAAAAATTATTTCAAGCATTGACTGATAATATTTTGAAATTAGCAAAATTAATTAATACAATTTGAATAATTGATAGTTTTAAAAATTATTTCAATTTGTTTATTTACTTATTATTTTTCCTAATTTTTAATTAATATCAATTAATGCTTGAAATAATTTTTAAAACTATCAATTATTCAAATTGTATTAATTAAATCAATCAATAATGCATTTTTCACCGGTACGTATATTCCATTCTTTCTTTAGCATATTCACTGATAAACTGTTAATAAATGAACTTTTTGGCTCCTACAAAAGCAATCTAATAAGAATAAAAAATGCATGAAATTGTCTTAAAAGATAATCATAAAGACACTGCACGAAATATTTCTAATTTCTTTAAATAAAAGCTTCAAACTTTAAATAAAATTTTTTTTTAAAGAAAAAGGCATTGTCCTAAAATAATTGTAAACGATGAGTCATTTTATTGAAATTTTTGCTTTGCAATCTTTTTTTCGCAATCTAAGTTAATTTTAGGTAGTAATTTTGTAATTAAACCAATAATTTAGGATACATCTCGATGAATAAAACCTATGGTTAGCAATTTTGTTTACTAAAGCAAATGTCTATTAAAGATGTTTTGCATTTAATGATTTTGATGGATTAAATAGAATCAAAAAGAACGACAATTAAATAACTATAATTTTTGCTTCTTTGAAATTAGTTTTGTTTGGGAAAAAAAAGTTATACACCTATATTAATGTGTATATGAGAGAGTATATTTATCATAGTATTTTGTATAAATAAATGTGTATGTCACTTTTTTTTTTTGATTTATACTTATACGTCTATATTTCGATTTAATTCGTGTACTATGGTTGATAAAGACGATATCATACGCTTCATTGTTAGCCTGATGATATATTTATTGGTTTTTTGCCCTTGAGGATTTTATGCGAAACTGACAAATACTATTGCTACTACTAATAATAATAATAACAATAATAATAATAATGATAATAATAATAATTAATAATAATAATAATGATAGCAGCAACAACAATAATAATAATAATAATATAGAAACTGATTCATTTGAAAAGAGACTCGAGATGAAAAAACATATATATGCGATTAAAACGTTATGAAGTATTATACAAAATTATCAAAACCGATTAGAAAAGGAAATGAAACAAACAATATTCTATGTCTTCTCAAAAATTATTGCCTTTACTAGGACTAGGAACCGGATCATTTTCTTTAAAATCAATGAAATTGAACGTTTTTCTTAGCATTTTCAATTGCGCTATTTTCAAAACAAAAAGATAATAATGCCTTATGGATGAAATTGTTTTATACCAAGCCTTCAGCGGTAACACAAGAAAATCATAGTATTCTTAGCGAAACCAAGAGAAATTTAGCAAACCACGCCAAACCCCGGTTTTAATTGTTAAAAGTAATGCTGGATGACAATGTTTGCTATTTAACTTTAAAGTTTAAAGTCAGCATAAAATGTCAAAAAAAAGTCAATAAGATGGATTAATTAAGAAAATTAAGAGTATAAATCTCTTCGAAAGGAAGTTAACAAATAGCTTTTGTCTTTTTTTAATAATTTAATTATTAAATTTATTTATTGTTAGTTTAGAAAATGCTTAAGCCTTCAACTTACTGCATTTAAAATTGTTTGTTAAATGACAATTATTATAAAAATCAATAAATTAATTAAGATCATTATAAATTATCATAAATGATTGAATCATTATAAATGATATCAAATTAACATCTAATAAATGATTAATCATTTCATTTAAATTTTATTTTTTACAAGACAAAACAAAAATGAAAAAAAAATCATTTCTAATCACTTCGTGTCAGTTTTTTCACGTGCCTGTCGTTTCTTACGTAATTCTTTGCGACTTTCTGGTGGTTCAGTTCGTAATGGGATTTGCTCAATTTTAGGTCGTCGTTTCGAACTTGATTCCGATTCTTGACTGCTACTTGTTCGAATTTCAGCTGATTCTAGTGTTGGAGAGCTTTTGATAGCGCCTGATCCTTCCTGTTCACCCCTACCGCCACCAGTAGCACCACCGCCAATAGCACCACCGCCAATAGCACCACCACCGAGAGCACCAGCAGTACCATCGTTAGCAGCAGCAGTAGTAATAGGAACATTTGAGTAGATGAGTACCGGATCATTATGTGCTGTAATTACCGTACAAATCGAATCACGAGAGCTTTTTGGTGGTAATATTGAGGGAGCGGTGCTACTTTGGAGTGGAATCATTTCACCTGTTACATTTCCACTTTTAGACATGCTTTGATTGTTGAGCTAAAATTTCAGCCCAAAGTTCTCGTCTACTATCACTAATCTTTTCCTGGGTTGGGTAAATTACGTAAGATTGCTTTAAAAACTGTTAACAACTACCAGATCCTATTGGAAGCTGTTGAGCTGGACGCCAGTTTTTGTTAACTGATACGGATATTTCATTACTAATACTTTTGGTTGTTGCAGCAGATGATACCGAATCAAAGGTGGAATGATATGATCCAAGAGGTGATGGTGCTAATCCTAATGTTCCTCCTAATGGAGTTGGTGTAACTGCATTTTCTGCACCAGACACCGTATAGATGGGCGATGATAATGGTTGATTGCGATTTGTGGTGACGCCAAATCATCCTATATTTAATTTTAGGTAGCTATTTATTCTAATTTTAATGTTTAATTTAATCGTACATAAATGATTTTTTTTTTGTTTCTGTAAACATTTGCAATGTACAAATTCAAATGATTGCAAATTTTTCTTTCATATTATGAAATTGACATATTGTTTAAAAAAAAAAAAAAATGGAAACCATAAATTTGGCATAAACTGCATCCATTAAAAGACTTGCACAATTGGTCCCAAATCTGGCACCTCCAATGATTTCTTCATTATTTTTGACGCTAGAAAAATTTTAAAAAAACAATTTTTTTTTTCGAATTTATAAAAATTTAATTTGAATAATTTATCTGCCATTTTAATAATCCTTATAATCTCAAGTTTTTAAAAGAAAAAATTTAAATGAAGCAAATAGGAAGGAAATAAATAGCAAACATTATCAGCCACATGAATAATTCCTTGAAATTAACATTATCAAAGAGCTGACGCATAACAAATATGTTCAGGATTATTTTGAAGCCAAATATCGCTTCATAAATTTCTAATACCTCATTCAGGTCCTAATAGTGGTGAAATAAAGCATTCGAATGATAACTAAAAAAGGAAAGGAAAGGAGAGAGAGAGAGAAGAAGAAGAAGAATATTAATTAAATGTAAAAAATTTTTTACATTTAGCTAATTGCTGAAATAATAATGAAAACAAACAAAAACAAAAAAAAAAAAAAAATTATATAGAAAGAAATTATTTCTTTCTTTTTTTTTTTACTTCTGAAATTTTGGGCTTGCCAGAATATCATGAAATTTNATTGCTGCACCATCAACAACCATATTACGATATTGTGATTGTCTAAATGTAAGATAAAGTAATGATAAGGAAAAAATTGCGATAAATTTTGAGAAATAATATTATTGTCTCATTCAAGATTATAACAAAATTTCGTGCAGCAATTAGACTTGTTCTTTTTTTATTAAAGATGAACAAAATCTGCTAGAAGCTTTGAAGCTATAAACAGGTAAACATTGATATATACATCTGATTATATGATTTAAAATGAAAAATTAATTAAACAAACGGAGGTAAACAAGCAATAGCTGAGTAAAGTAATGAAATTGGTGGTGATGTATTTTCTAATATGCGTTCAGTCATTTCTTCACAAATTAATGATACCAATGAAGTCACCTGAAAACTTTTTTACTGCAAACACAATCATATCTACTGATCATAACTATAATTTTATTGATTGAAAAGATTTGCTTGTCATTTATTTTAATTATTAAAAGATTATTGGCTTTATACATGATTTTTTTTACTATATATTATTTCTTTTAAAATTTTAATTGGTATATTTCAGAATTCAGGCATTTTGTTCTATCTGTATTGTTTTATCTTTGATTACCTATTAGCTTATCAATTCTTCGTTTCGCCTATTATTGATACATTTGACTTTGTCAACTATTTCTTTCTTGATTTCATCTTTTTTTTTTCTTCTTTTTTTTAAAAAAAGCATTATTTTAATTCCTAAATTCTTTATTATTAAGTTAAGTTTAATATACTTACTTGAAGATCATTAGCTGCTATTAGAACATTCTCCAATTCATTTTCTAAAAATTTGATTTGTCCACTTTGAATGAAAGCTACCACATTATAGAGACCGGCATTCGTAATATTTGGCATATCATTTAAATGAACTGTGATTTCTTTACCCGATGAAAGTGTTTCTTGTGTTGCCTAAATATAATCTTTCTAGGATAATTACCCATTTAAAGTTATTTAAAATTTTAATTAGTTTAATTATACTTTCATTAGTTTAATTATATATATATATTTTAAAAAAGGAAACGACCAAATATTTAAACAATTACAAATTTTGTACAACAAATATTAATTAATTCAATTAAAATTTACTTGTGCTGAAATAAGTTTGCGAAAGATATCCGAGAATGCAGTAAGTAAACATGCAGGTGCATTACATGAATATCCATTTTCAAGCACAATTTTTACTCGATTTTTAATACCAATATTTGCTGACCACTTTAAATATACTTCAGCTTCTAATCTATCAGTACGCAATTCATCCTTAAATGAAAACTAAAATAAAAAAAAAAAAAAAATGGTTAAATATAGTCAAGAAAAACTTTGAAAATATTTAATTTCAAATAAATCATTAAAATATTTTTTTAGCAAAATTTATTCTTTTACCTTTAAACTTTTTTTTTCATCTTTTTTTTTTTTTTTTTAAATCATAATACATTGAAATTTCTCAATAATTTAATGCAGGTATAAAATGTTCTCAAATAATCAATATGTTTTCCTTTCACTATTTTCTGTTTTTTTTTTTCTCTTAATGTTAAATATAAATATGCTTTGCATTAATTATGATTAATTAAATTAATTGGAACCTTCAAATACTTTTTGCGAATATCTCCTGGTACAACCCATACAGCATCCAACGCAAGTCGCTGTTGTAATTGCGGGACTCCTTCCTGCGATCTGCCGTACCACATCTGATAGAAGCATGCAAATGATGCGTTGCAGTAATTCGAATCAAATAAATTAGTTTTTTTTCTTAGTAAATAAATTTGCATATGAATGTTGCAAAAAATTCATTTTCGTTTTTTAAATCAATCAATAATGTATTTTTCAATATAATTTGAGTAATTGATAGTTTAAAAACTAACCGATGAATCAAGTAATTCATAAAGCCATTGAATTATTTTAATATGAACATTGATACCATTCATACCATCCACGTATAACATCACTTGACCTAATGCTACAATTAAACGTACGTGTACGTTTGAACCCTTGCACTTTGACATTGAAATAATTTTAAAGCAACTTAAAATTCAAAAGGTCAAATTTATTCATTTTTTTCACTCTCTCCCAGATTCTCTTCAATTTATTCTTTTCTATTAAATCCAAAATATTTTTGACATTTTATGCTAACTTCAAACTTTAAAAGTTAACTTTAAAGCAAACTTTCATTGCAGAAATTAATTAAATCTGCAGGTATAATTGATTTCAACTATTTTTTAAATATTAAAATTAATTTTAGTCACAATTCTAGATAGGGTTACTTAAGAAATTTCGACAGTTTTTAAAAGTTTTAATAAATTAAATATTAAAAACGATTTAATTTTTATTTATTCTGTTTCAATTAAAATCTGCAAATGCTGGAAAAATACAATTCATTTAAAAATGAACATATATTGAACTTAATTGATTACTTTTATCTGCATTACACTTGATCTGCTGACATCTTATTGACTTTTTTTTGACATTTTATGCTGACTTTAAACTTTAAAAGTTAACTTTAGAAACAAAGAGATAAAGAGATAAGTTTAAATAGAAAAGAGATAATATTAAATGCGAAAAAGCTTTAATTTTTACAAAATTTTTGTTTCTTCCCTTGTCCAAGTAATAAAAATTGGTACAAAATGAATATTTTTCACGGCAATTTACTGCTAATTGGTAATTATGACTAATTTCCAATGTCAAAAATGAATTTCTAACCGCTTGACTTCCTCATTTTAATTTAGTCCCAAACTCTATTTATATTGATAGCGTATATGAAAATGTTAATGTTTGGCACATGGAGATGCTAATTTTCGCTATAATCATGGTTTCGTAACGCAAATAGCAAACATTGTCATCAGCATACACATTAATTTTAGCAAACCAATTAAAACCCGGGTTTTGGCGTGGTTTGCTAAATTTTCTTGGTTTCGCTAGAATACTATGATTTTTTTTGTGTTACCGCTGAAGGCTTGATATAAAACAATTTCATCCATAAGGCATTATTATCTTTTTGTTTTGAAAATAGCGCAATTGAAAATGCTAAGAAAAACGTTCAATTTCATTGATTTTAAAGAAAATGATCCGGTTCCTAGTCCTAGTAAAGGCAATAATTTTTGAGAAGACATAGAATATTGTTTTGTTTCATTTCCTTTTCTAATCGGTTTTGATAATTTTGTATAATACTTCATAACGTTTTAATCGCATATATATGTTTTTTCATCTCGAGTCTCTTTTCAAATGAATCAGTTTCTATATTATTATTATTATTATTATTATTATTATTATTATTGTTGTTGCTGCTATCATTATTATTATTATTAATTATTATTATTATCATTATTATTATTATTGTTATTATTATTATTAGTAGTAGCAATAGTATTTGTCAGTTTCGCATAAAATCCTCAAGGGCAAAAAACCAATAAATATATCATCAGGCTAACAATGAAGCGTATGATATCGTCTTTATCAACCATAGTACACGAATTCGAAATATAGACGTACAAGTATAAATCAAAAAAAAAAAAAGTGACATACACATTTATTTATACAAAATACTATGATAAATATACTCTCTCATATACACATTAATATAGGTGTATAACTTTTTTTTCCCAAACAAAACTAATTTCAAAGAAGCAAAAATTATAGTTATTTAATTGTCGTTCTTTTTGATTCTATTTAATCCATCAAAATCATTAAATGCAAAACATCTTTAATAGACATTTGCTTTAGTAAACAAAATTGCTAACCATAGGTTTTATTCATCGAGATGTATCCTAAATTATTGGTTTAATTACAAAATTACTACCTAAAATTAACTTAGATTGCGAAAAAAAGATTGCAAAGCAAAAATTTCAATAAAATGACTCATCGTTTACAATTATTTTAGACAATGCCTTTTCTTTAAAAAAAAATTTATTTAAAGAAATTAGAAATATTTCGTGCAGTGTCTTTATGATTATCTTTAAGACAATTTCATGCATTTTTATTCTTATTAGATTGCTTTTGTAGGAGCCAAAAAGTTCATTTATTAACAGTTTATCAGTGAATATGCTAAAGAAAGAATGGAATATACGTACCGGTGAAAAATGCATTATTGATTGATTTAATTAATACAATTTGAATAATTGATAGTTTTAAAAATTATTTCAAGCATTAATTGATATTAATTAAAAATTAGGAAAAATAATAAGTAAATAAACAAATTGAAATAATTTTTAAAACTATCAATTATTCAAATTGTATTAATTAATTTTGCTAATTTCAAAATATTATCAGTCAATGCTTGAAATAATTTTTAAACTATTATTGATTGATTTAAAAACGAAAATGAATTTTTGCAACATTCATATGCAAATTTATTTACTAAGAAAAAAACTAATTTATTTGATTCGAATTACTGCAACGCATCATTTGCATGCTTCTATCAGATGTGGTACGGCAGATCGCAGGAAGGAGTCCCGCAATTACAACAGCGACTTGCGTTGGATGCTGTATGGGTTGTACCAGGAGATATTCGCAAAAAGTATTTGAAGGTTCCAATTAATTTAATTAATCATAATTAATTGCTAAAAAGCATATTTATATTTAAGCATAAAAGAAAAAAAAAAACAGAAAAATGTGAAAGGAAAACATATTGAGATTATTTGAGAACATTTTTATACCTGCATTAAATTATTGAGAAATTTTAATGTATTATTATGATTTAAAAAAAAAAGAAAAAAGATGAAAAAAAAAGTTTATAAAGAATGCTAAAAAAATATTTAATGATTTATTTGAAATTAATATTTCAAAGTTTTCTTGACTATATTTTAACCATTTTTTTTTTTTTTGTTTTCATTTAGGATGAATTGCGTACTGATAGATTAGAAGCTGAAGTATATTTAAAGTGGTCAGCAAATATTGGTATTAAAAATCGAGTAAAAATTGTGCTTGAAAATGGATATTCATGTAATGCACCTGCATGTTTACTTACTGCATTCTCGGATATCTTTCGCAAACTTATTTCAGCACAAGTAAATTTTAATTGAATTAATTAATATTTGTTGTACAAAATTTGTAATTGTTTAAATATTTGGTCGTTTCCTTTTTTAAAATATATATATATATATATAATTAAACTAATGAAAGTATAATTAAACTAATTAAAATTTTAAATAACTTTAAATGGGTAATTATCCTAGAAAGATTATATTTAGGCAACACAAGAAACACTTTCATCGGGTAAAGAAATCACAGTTCATTTAAATGATATGCCAAATATTACGAATGCCGGTCTCTATAATGTGGTAGCTTTCATTCAAAGTGGACAAATCAAATTTTTAGAAAATGAATTGGAGAATGTTCTAATAGCAGCTAATGATCTTCAAGTAAGTATATTAAACTTAACTTAATAATAAAGAATTTAGGAATTAAAATAATGCTTTTTTTAAAAAAAGAAAAAAAAAAGATGAAATCAAGAAAGAAATAGTTGACAAAGTCAAATGTATCAAAAATAGGCGAAACGAAGAATTGATAAGCTAATAGGTAATCAAGATAAAACCAATACAGATAGAACAAAATGCCTGAATTCTGAAAATATACCTTAACAAAAAATTTTTAAATGATATAGAAAAAAAATCTAGTGATTAAATAGAGGCAAATAATCTTTTTAATAATTAAAATAAATGACAAGCAAATCTTTCAATCCAATAAAATTATAGTTATGATCAGTAGATATGATTGTGTTTGCAGTAAAAAAGTTTTCAGGTGACTTCATTGGTATCATTAATTTGTGAAGAAATGACTGAACGCATATTAGAAAATACATCACCACCAATTTCATTACTTTACTCAGCTATTGCTTGTTTACCTCCGTTTGTTTAATTAATTTTTTCATTTTAAATCATATAATCAGATGTATATATCAATGTTTACCTGTTTATAGCTTCAAAGCTTCTAGCAGATTTTGTCATCTTTTAATAAAAAAAGAACAAGTCTAATTGCTGCACGAAATTTTGTTATAATCTTGAATGAGACAATAATATTATTCTCAAAAAAATTATTTTATCGCAATTTTTTCCTTATCATTACTTTTTATCTTACATTTAGACAATCACAATATCGTAATATGGTTGTTGATGGTGCAGCAATAAAATTTCATGATATTCTGGCAAGCCCAAAATTTTCAGAAGTAAAAAAAAAAAAGAAAAGAAATAATTTCTTTTCTATATATAATTTTTTTTTTTTTTTTGTTTTTGTTTGTTTTCATTATTATTTCAAAGCAATTAGCTAAATGTAAAAAAATTTTTTTTTACATTTAATTAAAGAAAAAAAAAATTGGAAAAGTTGCTCAAATTTAAAAGAACTAATATTCTTCTTCTTCTTCTTCTCTCTCTCTCTCTCTCTCTCCTTTTCCTTTCCTTTTTTTTTAGTTATCATTCGAATTGCTTTACGCACTTCTTTCTTCACCACTATTACAAGGACCTGAATGGATATTAGAAATTTATGAAGCGATCATATTTTGGCTTCAAAATAATCCTGAACATATTTGTTATGCGTCAGCTCTTTTGGATAATGTTAATTTCAAGGAAATTATTCATGTGGCTGATAATGTTTGCTATTTTATTTCCTTCCTATTTGCTTCATTTAATTTTTTTCTTAAAAAACTTGAGATTATAAGGATTATTTAAAAAATGGCAGATAAATTATTCAAATTAAATTTTTATAAATTCGAAAAAAAAAATTGTTTTTTTAAAATTTTTCTAGCGTCAAAAAATAATAAAGAAATCATTGGAGGTGCCAGATTTGGGACCAATTGTGCAAGTCTTTTTAATGGATGCAGTTTATGCCAAATTTATGGTTTCCATTTGTTTTATTTTTTGAATTTTTTAACAAATATGTCAATTTCATAATATGAAAAGAAAAATTTGCAATCATTTGAATTTGTACATTGCAAATGTTTACGAAACAAACAAAAAAAAAATTCAATTTTATAAGTATATGATTAAAATTAAATATTAAAAATTTAGAATAAAATAGCTACCTAAAAATTAAAAATTATAGGATGATTTGGCGTCACCACAAAATCGCAATCAACCATTATCATCGCCCATCTATACGGTGTCTGGTGCAGAAAATGCAGTTACACCAACTCCATTAGGAGGAACATTAGGATTAGCACCATCACCTCTTGGATCATATATCATTCCACCTTTTGATTCGGTATCATCTGCTGCAACAACCAAAAGTATTAGTAATGAAATATCCGTATCAGTTAACAAAAATTGGCGTCCAGCTCAACAGCTTCCAATAGGATCTGGTAGTTGTTAACAGTTTTTAAAGCAATCTTACGTAATTTACCCAACCCAGGAAAAGATTAGTGATAGTAGACGAGAACTTTGGGCTGAAATTTTAGCTCAACAATCAAAGCATGTCTAAAAGTGGAAATGTAACAGGTGAAATGATTCCACTCCAAAGTAGCACCGCTCCCTCAATATTACCACCAAAAAGCTCTCGTGATTCGATTTGTACGGTAATTACAGCACATAATGATCCGGTACTCATCTACTCAAATGTTCCTATTACTACTGCTGCTGCTAGCGATGGTACTGCTGGTGCTATCGGTGGTGGTGCTATTGGCGGTGGTGCTATTGGCGGTGGTGCTACTGGTGGCGGTAGGGGTGAACAGGAAGGATCAGGCGCTATCAAAAGCTCTCCAACACTAGAATCAGCTGAAATTCGAACAAGTAGCAGTCAAGAATCGGAATCAAGTTCGAAACGACGACCTAAAATTGAGGAAATTTGCATATGAATGTTGCAAAAAATTCATTTTCGTTTTTTAAATCAATCAATAATGTATTTTTCAATATAATTTGAGTAATTGATAGTTTAAAAAAATATTTCAAGCATTGACTGATATTATTTTAAAATTAGCAAAAATAATAAGTAAATAAACAAAATGAGAAAAGGCATTTTTTTTTCTGAGGACAATTATTAAAAAATATTTTAGATTAAATAAAGTAAATTTACAACTTTAAATTTAATTTAAATTTACAATTTTAAGTTCTTTTGGATATTGCAACTAACAGATGATCATAAAGCATTTTAACAACATTCTTGGTATTTCGATCTTAATTTTATTTTCATTTTAAATAGTTGCAATTAATTTCGTGGAAAAATACTGCTATTAAAATTTCATCTTTTTTCAAATGAAATTAATCAATTTAAAGAAAAATTCATTCATGGTTTTTTCGAAAGAAAAAAAAAAGGAAAATCAAATAATTTTGCGGAAAAAACGATTTACTTATTGCATCTCTTCTTACTGCTTTTGTAAATAATGAAAATACAATTTTATAACCTTGTGAAAATTTTCTGTAATAAATAAAAAAAAAATCTAAATGTATACAAATTTCTTGATAGAATAGAAATAACGAATGATCATTTTTTTTTATAATATCATATATTTAATTTTAAGCTACTTTTATTGTTTAAATATTATTCTTTTTTTTTCTATCTTCACTAATATGTTTATTTTATAAAATTTACTAATCTTTAACATTTCTTTATGATTTATTAAATTACTACAATTAGTTTAACTATTAATACAATTTTATGATCGTCAAATTTCATGCAATACTTTTGTTAAAATAAAAAATTTTTTTTCAATATTTTTTTGCCATTTTAAATATTTATCATTAATTCTATTAAATTATGTTTAAATTATAAACTTAGTCATATTGAAATTTTGTAAAATTTTATTAATCTCTAACATTTCTTTATGATTAATTAAAGCAATAATTGGCCAATAACAGTAACTGGCCATATTTGACTATGATTGATAAATAAGCTGCGAGAAGCTTTGTTCTCATGCTTGTACAGCTGTATAAGGTACAATGTATTACACATCAATGCAAAATAATTTTCATTTTTCAAATAGTCTAAAAAAAAAAGAGACTGATAGAAAATGGGATGGAAAAAGATGAAGGAAAAGGTGAAAATGGTAGTGGAATGGAAAAGAAAAAAGGAAAAAGAAGAGAAAAGAAGAAAAATGAAAAAGATAGACTAACTTTGAAGAAAAAAAGTATCAATTGAAAATGATTTACCATCTTTTTATTTTAATAATTGCTAACAAAAATGAAATTTTTTCATTTTATTTCTGCTTCCTTCCAACTTTTTAAAACCTTTAAATTAAAACTGATTTCAAATAAAAAGTATTACAAATATTTTCGTATGTTTAACAATTTACAATCAGTTAATGTTTAATGTAATTAAATTTATTTATTAAATATAATTATACTGCTCTTTCTACATAAATTAGAATTATTTGCCAAATTAATTTATATTTCTTTTTTCACGTGAATGCACGTGTAAGTGCATGCATGCAAATTATTGTAACATTGAATTCATAATACTCATTCATATATTTAAATATTCTGATTTTTTTTTTTTATAAATAAAATTATATTATCTCAAAAAGAAAAAAAAAAAGAAAAATTAAATTAATAATTTCTTTCAGTTGAATGCAAATGAGAATTGCATCGTACGATGTGTCCTAAAAAACGATCGCTGCGACGATTTTCTTGCTTCTCTCAAATGCCATCATTTCCGTTATGGTAAAATGCAATAAATTATTGCTCAAATATTTAAATTTTAATATTTCTTGTTCAATTATTTAAATTTTATTACTTTTTACCTTATATAAATTTTTTTTTAGTGTTAGTATTATATAAATATTAATGTTGTATAAAGTTATAACATTTATTGCATCATTGTATCATAACAATTGATAGAAAATGCCTTATAATTTGCTGGTCAAAATTAAATTAAATTTTATTAAATTTAAATTTTCATTATTCAAGATTTGAATTAATTTTTTAATTAACATTTTATTATTTCTCGTGCTGATCTCTCAATTTACAGATTTCAAAGCAAGCAACAGCCATGGAAATAGTATCAAAACAAACGAATTCAACATTATTTGAAACAAAAATTGGAAAAATAACCAGAAATTTGTATAAAACATCATTTACAAGCAGTGTACAAATTTTTGTTTTGTTTTTTTCAAATAAACCACTAAAAAAGTAGTTGGAAGAGAAGCAATAGATAATTAATTACTGATTAAAAATTTCAATACACAATTAATTGGCTAATTGATTTTAAACAATTTGCATTGCTTACGTAAGTAAGCACAAAATTTACTTTAATTCTTATTTTATTTTGTAATTTATTAATGTCATTTGAGTAGTAAAAATGAAAAAAGACAAAAATTTTGCATAAAAAACTTTTATATGTAAAAGTAATAAAATTTACAAATTACTTTTAAATTTCAACTTAAAAATATAGATTAATTGTAATATTTTCAAGTATATTAAGATCAAGCAGTAATCTTTCAATAAAGAGTCAAAATTACTACTTAAAATTAACTTAGATTGCGAAAAAAAGATTGCAAAGCAAAAATTTCAATAAAATGACTCATCGTTTACAATTATTTTAGGACAATGCCTTTTTCTTTAAAAAAAAAATTTTATTTAAAGAAATTAGAAATATTTCGTGCAGTGTCTTTATGATTATCTTTTAAGACAATTTCATGCATTTTTTATTCTTATTAGATTGCTTTTGTAGGAGCCAAAAAGTTCATTTATTAACAGTTTATCAGTGAATATGCTAAAGAAAGAATGGAATATACGTACCGGTGATATGATCATATTATTTGGTAAAATTACTTCTGGTAAATTTTTAAACAATTGTTTACAAACAATTGTATTATTATTTAAAAATTTGTAAATAATAAAAGATATTGAATCTTAAATAATTGATTATTAGACATATAATATTAAGCTAATTACAACAATATTTTAACGATTAACTGATAAATTATCAGAATTAATGGCAAATCAAATTTTGCTATTAATAATTTTTTCTATTACTTCTGCCAGCATACTTTTTCATACTGGTAAACTGATGAAATTTAAACTATTTAATATTGCTCAAAGCAATTTTTTTTCTTTTGTCCTACAGTCCAATATACAATTCCAAAATATTAGACTAATTAAGGTAATATTTGAAGATAAAAACGTAAAAATGTGACAACATAGAAACAATTAAAATTTTTTGTATTTAAGAAACATAAAGAGAAAAAAAGACAAACAAAAATTTTTTAATATTTCTTTTTTTCTGAAATAATGAAAATATAGTTGAAATGAGAAAAAGCATTACAGATAATCTTGATTTGAATGTTTTCTGGTATATTGGTACAAAAGTAATAACAAATGGTGGACGATATCGATATTGGCGCAAAGGTTTCGATTGTTGTTTGGAAATATTTGACTGTGATATATCAGATTCGGGCGATATTATATGCGTTGTAGAAGTAACAAATTCAATTGCTTCTGATATTAGTGTATTGCATGTCAATGGTATGTATAAAATTATTAAATTTTATTACAATAAATCAAAGGGATAGAAAAATGAATGATTATATTTAGTTAATTATTATTAAATAATTCAATTTACCTTATTTCTTTCTTTCTTTCTTTTATTTTTTTTTTTTTGCAGATGATGATTTAGCTGGAATTGAACCAAAATTTTTTCAAAATTTGAAATATGATGAAATTTACGGTTGTCTACAGTTGGCATGTCAGGTGTCAGGCTATCCAATACCTTATGTTACCTTTCATTTTCGCAATCGTCGCATTACAAGCAATCAACGAATAAGTAAGCTTTTTTTAAGAAGCTATTTTTAAATTATACAGATACATTGAAAGTATGAAACGGTAAATGTGATCATTTCAATTTTATATCATTTTTGATTATTGTTTCTTAAAGACGTTAATTAATTTGGAAATCGCTTATAACTTTCATAAAATTGTTCACGATTAAAATATAATTCTATCAAAGAAAGATAAACCGCGTGATAAAAGAAGCTTAAATTTAATAATTCAATCGAAATTTGAAAACATTAAAATCCTGCATATACATTCTTTGCATGAAATTTTTGTTGTTTTCTATTATGAAATTATAACTTACTTTAATGATTTGCATGATAAATTCATAAATAAAATATTGCAAAAACTAATCTTGTTTATGATTTGTAAAAAATGTTTATTTACAGATATTGATCGAAAAAATGATTGGTGGATATTACGAATCAATAATTGTACAGTTGATGATGAAGGTAAGTATATAGCTATTGCAAGAAATCGGATCGGACGAGTCATTTCATCTTGTTCAGTGATTTTAAATAATAAAGATCCATCTACCTATATAGCTGATGTATAGGAATAGCTTTATCAAATGTTACTTTTGTTTTTCTAAATCTTTGAAAATTTACTTAAAGTTGATGTTATTGCTTTTTTTTTTATTTTATCAAATTCATTTTTATAAAAATGAAAAACAAAAGACAAATTATCGATTCCTTTGGAAGAAATTTGTTTAATAAACAATTCATTAAATCGAAGCAAAAAAAAAAAATGCTTAAAATGATTCATATTATTTAACAATTTGATAGTACTGTTAAGAGAAGAATTTTGTGATGAGAAGAAAAAAACTTTTAATAATTACTGGCCATTAATGATTGATTTTAGGTGTGATGAAGTTTGCAAAATTAATACATAGCATTTTTTTAATAAACATTTTTCTCAATTTCTTTTCAAATTTAATAAACGATTTTTAAAATGCCTTCAATATTTTCTTCAGTGTTGTTTCTTTTTTTGTTATTTAAATAAATAAATGATTAGAAAAAGTTTTAAAAAATAAGCTTTAAAAATAAAAATTATAAAAATTTTAAAAACAAAAATTAAAAAAATGATTGGAAAAGGTAAAAACAAAAAACAAAATAGCAAAATGAAATCATTTTCAATATAATTATATTTATGAAATACAAATGAATTCATTTTCAGTAATAACTATTGGCTGAAATGTTTAATGTTCGATCATAAAAATTAGAAAAAAAAAGCCTGATTTTTGTAAAGTTACATCTGTTAAAATATACAGGTGCTATCATCATTTATCATTACATTTAAGCCATCTGAATCATTTGACCCTTTTGTCAGAAGTAGTGCAGATCAGTTCCATTATGATTACGTAAATGACAAGCAAAGTTAAAAATTGTAGTATTTTTACACTTACAAATTTTGAAATGCTGAAATACTTCAAACATATATCTATACTGCATCACATTTTATGTCTTAAAAAATCCGATCTACATTAGCCATTCCCTATCACAAACATACATCTCGTATACAACATATTCTGTTTGCTTACATATCATCCACAATTAGCGCTGATTTCATCCATTTCAGTATCATTTACAAATGTTTACTGTTATTTGCATTCTAAAACAATTACACGTGAAATGTATATCGAAAAGTATAATACTGTAGAAGACAGGTATATTTCACAAAATACCGTAGGAGGTGGGTTTATTTCATAAAATACCGTACAGTTGAGATAAACATCATAGAAAATTCATAAATTTGCTATAGGGTATATTTGAAAATAGTATCATGGAAATAACATAGACTTACTATAAGAGAAAAGGTACCATATATTTGTGTATTAGCAATTCATAAGTACCATAATTAGAAGTATTTGACTTTAAATTTACATAAATCTAATTTACTACAGAAACGGCATATATAAAGTGTTCAAAAAGTGATAACTTTTATTTTCTTTTCCTTAAAAGCGGTTATCGTTGTGTTCTGTTGACTTATATGATGGTTGACAAGGATTACGATATAACGCTCAAGTCATACGCTAATGTATTCCGTAACATGGGAATAGATAATGTTTATGATGGCGATAGTGATGATCTATTATGTGATTGTGTTATCATTACTGATGATAATGATCGGTAAGAAGACTCGGTTATATTAATAAAAGTAAGGGAAGACGACGAGAAGAAATATTTATATATTTAATTCATTGTAGTGGAATAGAAAGTTTTTATTACTTTTATTGTTATTCAAATGGCTAATAAATTTGGTATTATTTCTTCATTATCGCTAGTAGTGAATATACTACTCTATATTATTTGCCAATATTTTACTGTATTGTTTTTCGTTAATGTATTAAAGCGATTGATACATTTCTTCTTGTGGTAGTTTAATGATAAATAGCAAATGTTTATTGTAATCTGCAACATTTGTTATTTATTCATCACACAAATACAGATGTTGTCTGTGATTATTTATAACGTTACTATTTATTAAAGTCCAATTAAGTATTATTCTGATAATTTGCAGTTACTGTATCATTTACTGTACCTCAATAATCCTCAATACTGTACTATTCAAAAATACGGTAATTTCCACTCATTTTAGATATCGATTAAATAGCCGATTTGTTGAACATCGTTGTCCTTATCTCATTCCATTTATGCTTTTCAATGAAACTACCCAACAATATACCATACATACATCAGTTTCAATTGATATTGTAAATTTGTTTTTATTTTTCTTTTTAAAATTTTCGTTACTTTTTTAGTAGATATATTTACATAATGTAGCATTTTCACAATAAGTTTTAAGTTAATAATTCTTTTGCTTTTGAAAAAGCTCAAGAAATTTAGAGTGAAATTGAAATTAATTTATTATACTTTTAGATAAAAGAAATATTTTACGCTTTGAAATATGAAAATATTAATGTAAAAGATTGGCTTCAATTGGAGCAAATTCTTAAAGTGGTATGCCTTAAAGTATTTCTCTTATAATGAATGCCATTATTCCTTTATTACCTATTTGTAAATTTAATTAAAAGATTGTTATTATCAATAAGTTTGTTAGTAATATTTATGCTAAAAACAAATAAAAAATTTTTCCATAATGAAAAACTACACTTTAGTCATTTCAATGTAAGCGAAGTAAAAAAACATAATTACAATCTTGGTCATCAAATAATGTTATTGACACATTATTTGTTCATGTAAAAGTAAATTCAATAATTCAAAATTAAACAACTCAAATACAAAAACATTTGCTAATCACTATTGAGAAATTATGTGAAATATCTCTATGCTAAGTTTTACTGATAATATTATCTAACAGTTATCTCTTACAACACTTTAAAAGGAAGCAGTTATAAATGAACCAAAATCTGACTGATATCTCTTTTTTTTTTGAATTTTATGTCACTTTTTTTTGTTGTAAAACTTGTGAAATTTTCCAAAATACAAATTTTAGGCAAATGATTGGGAATTAGACAGCATAAAACGATGTGTTGTGCAAAATTTTGTTGATGGTATCAATGAAGAAAATTGTATTAGTGTTTGGCGAATGTGTGCCAAATATTTACCTGAACAAATAAAAAAAAGTTTAAACATAATTTTTTGTCTTATTTAAAATGAAGATTTTTGAAAAAAATGGAGAAACAAAAAAAACAAGAAAAAAATAATCCATTCTTTTCTTTATTAAAAAATAAGGAACAAAAAAATTATTATTACTATCTTTTATTACAGACTTTTGAATATGTGTTGTATATTGTAAATTCATCTGTAAACAATGGTTACAACCTTGATTATTTTCGTCTTAAATGTAATCATTTATTTGAAATTTTGAATGCTGATTTATTGAAAGTAAACGATGAGGTATACTAATTGAATGTTACACATTTTAAATACGTAAAAAGTATTTTGTGCTTATTGATAAAGTACGAATTTTTGCTAAATTTTTAAATTCTAATTTTTTTTAAATAAGGAAAAAAATTGTTACATTTCTATATTGTGTTAGATGGATGTTTGGATTCTTCTTCTTAAACGATGGATTTTGATAGATCGTAAAAAACGTATGCCATATTGTCGTTCACTATTGAAGTGCATTCGTTATAATTTGTTAAATGATGAACAGGTTTAACAAGATTTTCTCTTATTTCTATATCAATTTAAATTATGATTTTGAGTTTATATATTTTTTTATGCTATTACTATTATTATGATTATTATTACCAGTATGTGTAGAAAAGTAAATAATTACTGCTTGCGAAGAAATCTTTCAGTTTATCATAATTTATAAATTATAATTAAAATGATTTAATGAGAGCTTTAATGACTGTTGTAAGTATTTCTGCACTGTAGCAAAATTTAATTCAAGTTCTAATTAAATATAGCGATGAGTTTAAGGAGTAAAATTTTATGCTTTTCTAAATTTTTCATAAAAACTTCTTTTCTTTAACAAGGCATCATTAATTTGAAATATTTGTAAATGTATATTTATTAAATGTATCACTAATATCTGTTAAAATTCATTCAAAATATTCCATTAGTTTATGAATATTAAACTTAAAAAAGAAACAAATTTAAATTGAACATTTACTTCAGAATTTAATATAAGTGTATTACCAGTATTAAAAAGTATTAAAAAATACTGATTAAAAAGATAATTTAATATAAAATATTTAAAAAGTTAAAAATCAATATTAAAAAGGACAAATATTGAATATTAAGAAAAAGAGGCAATAAAAGAGAAAAGAAAATAAGAAAAACTTGTTAATATTTAATTAATAATCAGAAAAAAAAAAAGAAGATAAAGTAAACCATTATGGAAAATTTTCAGAAGAATGAAATTATAAAAGATCTTACACATTTTAAAATAAACATTATCGATGGTCAAAAAAATATAAATTGGTCAATGAATACGGAAACGAGAATTCCACGTGATTTATTATTAGCAATTGGAGGCTGGGAGAAAAGAGGGCCAACAAATGTGGCAGAAGTATTAAATATAAATACTAATAAATGGCAACGTGCAAAGATACTTGAGGATAAACGTCAAATAGCTTATCATGAATGTATCGTTATCAATAATGTAAAAATTTTACTATTAAATATTTAATATTTATTTGGTTATTTTGTTTAATAGAAGAAAGAATATTTATTGAAGAATAATTTTCATTACGATTTTTTTTTTTTTGTTTAATAAAATTCTGTTTTTATTAAGTATGTTTTATCGTTTGTATATATTCAAATAACATAGAATTTGTTTATCATTAATATTTATAAATTTTAAAATGTTAACTTTAGAAATTATATGTTATTGGCGGTTTTGAAGGAACACAATATTTTAATAGCACACGTGTTGTTATGATAGTGAAACAAAAGAATGGTCTGAATTAGCTCCAATGAATTATGCAAGGTAAACTTTTTAGTATAACTGCTAAAATGATAAAATTTATCATATATTATGATATAATTATGATAAGATTCAATATAATCTTTCAAAAAAAAAAAAAAAAAAAAAAGATAACATATGGATTAGATTTAGCAATTTAGCAAGAATAGCAAACATTTAAAATTATATTTTAGGTTGGATAAATAATTATAATATTGCTGCAATAAAATATTACAATTGAAATATTTAAATAGTTAATTACTTATTTAGCTGCTTTATTTCAATGGATTTTTCGCTTCTTTTTTTTTCATTTTCATTCAATTTGATTTATAATTATATATCATAAATTCTTTTTTTGTAAATAAATCAATAAATCATAAAAAAATATTATGAAGAATAAAAAATAAGAAAATATATTTTGTTTAATACATACTATTTTAATATATATTTGATAGAATAGATATATATTATTTAAAAAGAAAAAAATTGGATGAAATCTTTGTAGATGTTATATATCAGCATGTGAAATTAATGGTACAATTATTGCTGCCGGTGGTTCAGATGGTAGATCGAGACTTCGAACTGCTGAAATGTATGATATCAACAAAAATCAATGGACAAAAATTCGGTTATTATATTATTTTCTTATCATTTAATTTGTTTTTTTTTCTTTTTTATCAGCATAATTTAATAAAAGAATTTGTTGAAATGTCTTGAAAACAACTGAAATATTAATGATTGCTATTATCATTTCTTATATTTAATTCAAGAAATATGACACAACGACGATCAGATGCAGCAGCATGTGCTATGGGTGGTAAAATGTACGTAGCTGGTGGTTATACCGGTGAAACGGTATTACAAACGGTTGAAATGTATACACCAGAAACGGATATTTGGACTGAAGTTGCACATATGAGCTCACCAAGATCCGGTAAATAATTCATGCAATGAAAAGTTTATTTTTATCAAATAAAATTTATCAATTTAAATTAATTTACTAGAAATTGTTTAAATTAACATCGTAGTTCTTCCTTTTCATGTTTACTTACTAACTGGCTGGAAATTTTAATGCAAAGAAAAATTTGAGAAATGTTTCTTTTTCTACACATTTTAATTAACAGCATATTTGGCCAGATGTATGGTTCAGTTAATTATTAATCAAGAACTGTAAACAAAATTTATAAGTGTTATGTAAACAAAAAATAAAAATAAAGTTTTAAATTAATTGTTGAATACAAGTGCAAAAATTATTATTTTAGGTATAATAATAAAATTTCAAATACTTTTTAGGCCTGGCATGTGCAGCAAGTACAGATTTTATACTAATCGCTGGTGGATACGATGGTACAAATCGATTAAGCAGTGCAGAAATCCTACGAAATGGAAGTGCCCATACTGTAAATGTTGAATCAATGCCAATGCCAAGGTTTAAACTTTTTTGAAATATTTCAAAAATTATCTCTAAACTTTTACAAAAACTATAACTGCTGCAAGTACTAGTAAAGCATTAGCAATTTTTGCTTAACAATAAATAAAAAATTTTGTTGATTTGTTATTCAAAAAAAAAACATGGATAATTCAAATTACGCTTAAATTTTTGTTGTAATAAAAGATTATATTAGAGTTATTTAAAACTTTTATGCCTCAAAATTTTTACTTTAAAATATTATTGATCTGATTGTAAATTAAAGTAAAAAAAATTGAGTTATTTTTGTTTAGTTTTTTATTAAGATTTATCTGTTTCTAACATAAATTATTGAATTAAATTATTCCTTTTTCTTTTAATTTTTTTTTAAGATCAAATTTTGCAATGTGCAAAATGGGAAATTATTTTTATGCTATTGGTGGTTATAATAGAACGGTGACTAAAACAGTGGTACGTTTTGATGGTAAAAAATGGGAACGAATTTGTGATTTATCAGTTTCACGTAGTGCTTTACGTGTTGTACTACTGAAAGCTTGGCCTGATCCAAATGAATTGCTTTGCAATACGAATACAAATTCAGAAATCACGCAAAATTGGACGTATGAAATAGAATCTTCAGAATGTCAAGAAACGAGTGGTTCTCAAATAACAGATATAAGTGATAATTCAAATTAAAATATTATGTTAAAAATTTTACTAAATTAAAAATTGGCAATAAATAATTGCTTTTAATTAAAATTTCCAATTGAAAAAAAAATGCATTTTTTATGATATCCGCAATAAAATATTTGCAATATATGCATAGTATTACTTATTTTTATTATTATCACTTTATCCTAATACTAGCAGTCAATTTTAAAAATTTAAATGCTAAAATAAAAATTCTGCTATAAATTTTGGTATATTTGAATAAGAGATTTAGGTAAATTTTTTTTTTTTGATTTTAATTGATCAATATTTTAGATTTAAATAATAAATTTTTAAACACCTTTGAATAATTTGACAAAATCCTTTGCATATAATTTAAGATGGAAAAAAGACGAAGTCATACGCTTCATTGTTAGCCTGATGATATATTTATTGGTTTTTGCCCTTGAGGATTTTATGCGAAACTGACAAATACTATTGCTACTACTAATAATAATAATAACAATAATAATAATGATGATAATAATAATAATAATAATATAGAAACTGATTCATTTGAAAAGAGACTCGAGATGAAAAAACATATATATGCGATTAAAACGTTATGAAGTATTATACAAAATTATCAAAACCGATTAGAAAAGGAAATGAAACAAACAATATTCTATGTCTTCTCAAAAATTATTGCCTTTACTAGGACTAGGAACCGGATCATTTTCTTTAAAATCAATGAAATTGAACGTTTTTCTTAGCATTTTCAATTGCGCTATTTTCAAAACAAAAAGATAATAATGCCTTATGGATGAAATTGTTTTATATCAAGCCTTCAGCGGTAACACAAAAAAAATCATAGTATTCTAGCGAAACCAAGAAAAATTTAGCAAACCACGCCAAAACCCCGGGTTTTTAATTGGTTTGCTAAAATTGTAATGTATTGCTGGATGACAATGTTTGCTATTTGCGTTACGAAACCATGATTATAGCGAAAATTAGCATCTCCATGTGCCAAACATTAACATTTTCATATACGCTATCAATATAAATAGAGTTTGGGACTAAATTAAAATGAGGAAGTCAAGCGGTTAGAAATTCATTTTTGACATTGGAAATTAGTCATAATTACCAATTAGCAGTAAATTGCCGTGAAAAATATTCATTTTGTACCAATTTTTATTACTTGGACAAGGGAAGAAACAAAAAATTTTGTAAAAATTAAAGCTTTTTTCGCATTTAATATTATCTCTTTGTCTATTTAAACTTATCTCTTTATCTCTTTGTTTCTAAAGTTAACTTTTAAAGTTTAAAGTCAGCATAAAATGTCAAAAAAAAGTCAATAAGATGTCAGCAGATCAAGTGTAATGCAGATAAAAGTAATCAATTAAGTTCAATAAATGTTCATTTTTAAATGATAATTGAAATAATTGAAATACATTGAAGACTTAAAAAAGTTTTTCTAAATCTTGTCTTAATTGAATTCTACCAATGCTATAAAAATTATTTAAAAATGAATGTTTTTTGAACATGATTTATTTAAAAATGAATGTTTTTTGAACATGATTTAATGCGAAAAAAAAATTTCTTTTATCCTTTATCGAAAAAAAAAGATTTATGAATAATATCGAACACGAAACAATTAATTCATTATTTTTAGAAGTTAAAAAAAAAATTCACTTTTACTTTTTCTTGATAAAAATTAAAAAAAAAAAAAATGAAGTATTAGGGAAACTAACCGATGAATCAAGTAATTCATAAAGCCATTGAATTATTTTAATATGAACATCGATACCATTCATACCATCCACGTATAACATCACTTGACCTAATGCTACAATTAAACGTACGTGTACGTTTGAACCCTTGCACTTTGACATTGAAATAATTTTAAAGCAACTTAAAATTCAAAAGGTCAAATTTATTCATTTTTTTCACTCTCTCCCAGATTCTCTTCAATTTATTCTTTTCTATTAAATCCAAAATATTTTTGACATTTTATGCTAACTTCAAACTTTAAAAGTTAACTTTAAAGCAAACTTTCATTGCAGAAATTAATTAAATCTGCAGGTATAATTGATTTCAACTATTTTTTAAATATTAAAATTAATTTTAGTCACAATTCTAGATAGGGTTACTTAAGAAATTTCGACAGTTTTTAAAAGTTTTAATAAATTAAATATTAAAAACGATTTAATTTTTATTTATTCTGTTTCAATTAAAATCTGCAAATGCTGGAAAAATACAATTCATTTAAAAATGAACATATATTGAACTTAATTGATTACTTTTATCTGCATTACACTTGATCTGCTGACATCTTATTGACTTTTTTTTGACATTTTATGCTGACTTTAAACTTTAAAAGTTAACTTTAGAAACAAAGAGATAAAGAGATAAGTTTAAATAGAAAAAGAGATAATATTAAATGCGAAAAAAGCTTTAATTTTTACAAAATTTTTTGTTTCTTCCCTTGTCCAAGTAATAAAAATTGGTACAAAATGAATATTTTTCACGGCAATTTACTGCTAATTGGTAATTATGACTAATTTCCAATGTCAAAAATGAATTTCTAACCGCTTGACTTCCTCATTTTAATTTAGTCCCAAACTCTATTTATATTGATAGCGTATATGAAAATGTTAATGTTTGGCACATGGAGATGCTAATTTTCGCTATAATCATGGTTTCGTAACGCAAATAGCAAACATTGTCATCCAGCAATACATTACAATTTTAGCAAACCAATTAAAAACCCGGGGTTTTGGCGTGGTTTGCTAAATTTTTCTTGGTTTCGCTAGAATACTATGATTTTTTTTGTGTTACCGCTGAAGGCTTGATATAAAACAATTTCATCCATAAGGCATTATTATCTTTTTGTTTTGAAAATAGCGCAATTGAAAATGCTAAGAAAAACGTTCAATTTCATTGATTTTAAAGAAAATGATCCGGTTCCTAGTCCTAGTAAAGGCAATAATTTTTGAGAAGACATAGAATATTGTTTGTTTCATTTCCTTTTCTAATCGGTTTTGATAATTTTGTATAATACTTCATAACGTTTTAATCGCATATATATGTTTTTTCATCTCGAGTCTCTTTTCAAATGAATCAGTTTCTATATTATTATTATTATTATTATTATTATTATTATTATTATTATTATTATTATTATTATTATTGTTATTATTATTATTATTATTATTATTATTATCATTATTATTATTGTTATTATTATTATTAGTAGTAGCAATAGTATTTGTCAGTTTCGCATAAAATCCTCAAGGGCAAAAAACCAATAAATATATCATCAGGCTAACAATGAAGCGTATGATATCGTCTTTATCAACCATAGTACACGAATTAAATCGAAATATAGACGTACAAGTATAAATCAAAAAAAAAAAAGTGACATACACATTTATTTATACAAAATACTATGATAAATATACTCTCTCATATACACATTAATATAGGTGTATAACTTTTTTTTCCCAAACAAAACTAATTTCAAAGAAGCAAAAATTATAGTTATTTAATTGTCGTTCTTTTTGATTCTATTTAATCCATCAAAATCATTAAATGCAAAACATCTTTAATAGACATTTGCTTTAGTAAACAAAATTGCTAACCATAGGTTTTATTCATCGAGATGTATCCTAAATTATTGGTTTAATTACAAAATTACTACCTAAAATTAACTTAGATTGCGAAAAAAAAAAAAGATTGCAAAGCAAAAATTTCAATAAAATGACTCATCGTTTACAATTATTTTAGGACAATGCCTTTTTCTTTAAAAAAAAATTTTATTTAAAGAAATTAGAAATATTTCGTGCAGTGTCTAGACAATTTCATGCATTTTTTATTGTTATTAGATTGCTTTTGTAGGAGCCAAAAAGTTCATTTATTAACAGTTTATCAGTGAATATGCTAAAGAAAGAATGGAATATACGTACCGGTGAAAAATGCATTATTGATTGATTTAATTAATACAATTTGAATAATTGATAGTTTTAAGAATTATTTCAAGCATTAATTGATATTAATTAAAAATTAGGAAAAATAATAAGTAAATAAACAAATTGAAATAATTTTTAAAACTATCAATTATTCAAATTGTATTAATTAATTTTGCTAAATTTCAAAATATTATCAGTCAATGCTTGAAATAATTTTTTAAACTATCAATTACTCAAATTATATTGAAAAATACATTATTGATTGATTTAAAAAACGAAAATGAAAGCTTAAATGAACGATTTGCAACATTCATATGCAAATTTATTTACTAAGAAAAAAACTAATTTATTTGATTCGAATTACTGCAACGCATCATTTGCATGCTTCTATCAGATGTGGTACGGCAGATCGCAGGAAGGAGTCCCGCAATTACAACAGCGACTTGCGTTGGATGCTGTATGGGTTGTACCAGGAGATATTCGCAAAAAGTATTTGAAGGTTCCAATTAATTTAATTAATCATAATTAATTGCTAAAAAAGCATATTTATATTTAAGCATAAAAGAAAAAAAAAACAGAAAAATGTGAAAGGAAAAACATATTGAGATTATTTGAGAACATTTTTATACCTGCATTAAATTATTGAGAAATTTCAATGTATTATTATGATTTAAAAAAAAAAAAGAAAAAAAGATGAAAAAAAAAGTTTAAAGGTAAAAGAATAAATTTTGCTAAAAAAATATTTTAATGATTTATTTGAAATTAAATATTTTCAAAGTTTTTCTTGACTATATTTAACCATTTTTTTTTTTTTTATTTTAGTTTTCATTTAAGGATGAATTGCGTACTGATAGATTAGAAGCTGAAGTATATTTAAAGTGGTCAGCAAATATTGGTATTAAAAATCGAGTAAAAATTGTGCTTGAAAATGGATATTCATGTAATGCACCTGCATGTTTACTTACTGCATTCTCGGATATCTTTCGCAAACTTATTTCAGCACAAGTAAATTTTAATTGAATTAATTAATATTTGTTGTACAAAATTTGTAATTGTTTAAATATTTGGTCGTTTCCTTTT